CACCCACGCACCCACGCACCCACGCACCCACGCACCCACGCACCCACGCACCCACGCACCCACGCACCCACGCACCCACGCACCCACGCACCCACGCACCCTCGCTCCCACGCACCCACGCACCCACGCACCCACGCACCCACGCACCCACGCACCCACGCACCCACGCACCCACGCACCCACCCACCCACCCACGCACCCACCCACGCACGCACGCACGCACGCACGCACGCACGCACGCACGCACGCACGCACGCACGCACGCACGCACGCACGCACGCACGCACGCACGCACGCACGCACGCACGCACGCACGCACGCACGCACGCACGCACGCACGCTAGCACGCACGCACGCACGCACGCACGCACGCACGCACGCACGCACGCACGCACGCACGCACGCACGCACGCACGCACGCACGCACGCACGCACGCACGCACGCACGCACGCACGCACGCACGCACGCACGCGCGCGCGCACGCACGCACGCACGCACGCACGCTTCCGGGCGCGCGCACCCGCACACACCCGCACACACACGCACACACCCGCACACACCCGCACACACCCGCACACACCCGCACACACCCGCACACACCCGCACACACCCGCACACACCCGCACACACCCGCACACACCCGCACACACCCGCACACACCCGCACACACCCGCACACACCCGCACACACCCGCACACACCCGCACACACCCGCACACACCCGCACACACCCGCACACACCCGCACACACCCGCACACACCCGCACACACCCGCACACACCCGCACACACCCGCACACACTCGCACACACTCGCACACACCCGCGCCCACGCCCGCGCCCACGCCCACGCCCACGCCCACGCCCACGCCCACGCCCACGCCCACGCCCACGCCCACGCCCACGCCCACACCCACACTCACACGCACACGCACACACACACGCCCACGCCCACGCCCACGCCCACGCCCACGCCCACACCCACACCCACACTCACACGCACACGCACACGCACACGCACACGCACACGCACACGCACACGCACACGCACACGCACACGCACACGCGCACGCGCACGCGCACGCGCACGCGCACGCGCACGCGCACGCGCACACACACACACACACCCATGACCTCAAACAAGAAAAAACGCGAATAGGAGGTTTCCGCCACCAGCCAGAAATTCCTGAGGAAACCTCCTCATGTGATTCCGAAAATCCCCTACAGAGACGAAAAGCTTGTCGGTATTCTTTGTGGTTTACCCCGAAGCACGATCCAACAAGTTGAAAGTTTATTTGACAGCCGCAGGGGTGCCTCAATTTCACATTTGTGGGTCTCCCAAAGCGGCAGTTTCAATGCACACCAGGACATCGCAATCTTGGGGAAATGCAATGGTCCCTTGTGTCCGCGCTCAATCTTGTCCCACCTTCGAGAGTCAGTAAAGTACTCGGCGATCAAACGATGATCTGTCTGTCTGTCCTGTCCTGTCCTGTCCTGTCCTGTCCTGTCCTGTCCTGTCCTGTCCTGTCTGTCTGTCTGTCTGTCTGTTCGTCGTCCGTTGGCCAAAAAGGCTGTTGTCATCTCAATGGGCACAAACCCAACTGTAACGCTACACTATGGTGAAAAAAAAGACACTACCCTCTTTTTTAGTTAAAGCATTCTGTAGCGTTACACCCGGCCAGTGGCACCCCGCAACACACCCCAACAACATCACGCAGAGCTGAGGCTGTGTTGTATATACATATATATTCACATGTATATGTAGGTATTTTCATATGTACATATCCACATACCTACATGTGTATATGTGTTTATGTGTTTATATGTATATGCATATATGCATGTATGTATATACATGCATATATGCATGTATGTATATACATATTTGTATATATATATGTATTTATTTTTATACGCACATAGGTGTATATGTATATATGTATACATGCATATATGCATATATGTATATATGTATGTAGGTGTATCTGTATATATGGTGCGCATATGTTTATATGTCTATTTGCATATATTTATATATGTATATATTTATATATGTATGTATGTATATATGTATATATGTATATATGTATATATGTATATATGTATATGTATATATGTATGCATGTATATATGTATATATGTATATATGTACATATGTATTTATGTATATACGTATAATGTAATGTAATGTGTTTTAGTGTAACATAGCGTAACGTGATGTAATGTAATGTAATGCAATGTAGTGCAATGTAGTGTAACATGACAGAACGTAACGCCATGCAATGCAACGTAATGTAACGTAATGTAATGACATGTAATGTATGTATGTGTATATATATATATATACATGTACATCTGTATATATGTATATATGTACTTTTATATGTGTATATATGTATAAATGTGCAAATAAATAGGCTACCCCCCCTCCAAAAACCCGGGTTTGGCATGCTTAATTGATTGCCAGACGCGCGTGCAGAAGGCAGTCCTTTTGAATCAGGGCTCACACTCACTGGGATGGCTTTTTGATGAACTTAGTCATCAGCTGTCCACACAGTGTCCCAGATGCAACCCACATATCCTGGTCCCAACCAACACCAGTACTCATACTGTGCAGAACGAGGCTTGGCTCGCAACAAAATATGACTTTATCTTCTCTCTCTCTCTCTCTCTCTCTGTCTGTTTTCTACAACTCTCTAACTATCTCTGTCTCTCTCTCTCTGTCTATCTGAAACACTCATACCTCTCTATCTATACATATGCCTATCTCCTTATCTCTTTGTCTACGGGCATACCAAATCCATTTCCCTATCTTTTCAATTGCTTTTCTCTCTATCAAGGAAACATCTGTCTCTATAAGCAGCCCTTTCAACCTACATACAAGAAACATAAATCGTTGTCAATATACACATCCCTCGGTCTCTCTCTATAACTATCTTCGAGCTACAAACCTGTATTTCTTTATCTATATAACTATCACCCTCTCTCTATTTGTATAAGTGTACTCTTTCTTTCTATAAAACTATCAGTCTCCCTCTCTCCCTCTATCCATA